TTTGGAACAGCACCCAGTGAATTCACCTCTCCTGATACAAGGGATTTATCCCGAGTATTGGTATAAGCAAGATGAAACTGTGGGTCCCAGGCATCCAGCTTAGGTCACTTGAACCATCCCACTAGCCCCTTGCTGTCTTTAAATATGGCTATGCCATCCATGCATGAAGGGACAGGTTAGATGTTCTTCTGGCCCAAGAGCCTCCGGGATCCACTCAGCAGGGCACACCCTCCCCCATTCCTGCCTCCAGGGACGGTCTCCCTTGCTCTTTCCTTTGGCTTAGGAGCGGTTCCTATACCAATGCCATCTCAATCGAGACAAAGCATTAGCTGCTCTCTCCAGGTACTCAACATGGAAAAGGCAAGGTTAGACAATAGACAGAAAGCCGGGGGAAGGAAAATGGAAGGAAAGAAAGGATGGATGGAAGAGAGACAGACTTCCAGCAGCTCCCTGAAGAGAAACAGGTGGACCCTTCTGTCAATCAGCACCCAGAAGACCAGAGTGCATCCCTTGTAAAGTCCCCCATGCCTGGCTCCTTCTCACAGTGGTTCTCATTTTTCTTTCTGGATTTCTAAATCCACCGTAGGCCACCTCTGTTATTTTGCAGCTTGCCTTGCCTTGCTGGGCTGTCAGGTTGAGCTGTCCTTTTATGCTTCGGCAGCCACCCAAATGAAAAGATAAGTTGCTAGTTTGAGACCCAAAATACCTCAATGCCAACTTGTCAGGCCTCGGGGTGGCAAGCTATCCAGGGCAAGGTGTTCTCATTTTTAAATCTTAAATACCGCAAGATTTTTCACCATGGTCTTTTTAATGACTGACTCCTCAAGAAAACTTCCTGAACTGAAGTGAGGTGCTTACTTATAATTGGAGGCAAGTTAACAAGGGGAAGCTGTGATCCAGAGAACACAGATGGAAATACTGACAAACAGTGAGACTCTACCGCAGGCAGGCCCCGAGAGGATTAGAATTCAAGCTCTCATTCTTGCTTTGCCTTTAATTTTGGGCAAGCCGTCTAAACACGCCGAACCTCAGCCCCTTCGCCTGTTAAGTTAAATTAGAGTTAAGGTATCTCTCTTAAAGTTAGGGAGATATATCAGTGAGTAAAATGTCTACCTTGCAAGAATCAAGGCCTGAGTTCAACTCCCAGAACCGGCATCAGAAGGCTTGGGTGTAGCGGTACACGTAAGCCCAGTGCTGGGGCTTGACGACCAATTATACTAATCCAAAGTGAGTTCCGGGACAGGAAGAGACACGTGCTCTCTCTAAGAAGCAAAAATAGCGAACGGCACCTGAGGGACAACGTCCAATATTATCCTTTGGTGTGTATACTCCCTCATGCATGTGTGTGAGCATGCACGCACACACACACAGACAGACAGACACACACCTCTTTACCAAGGCTATTCTAAATTACACAAGAGCAAAGCATGGTCTCTGACCCATGCTGGACATTCTTTAAATAGCTGACGAATATATTAACCAATGAATATGCGGAAAACAAACGTGAAAACTGACAGGGGGCTGATCCAGGTGAGGAGGCGATGTGCCTACCACAAGGAAACCCTAAGTGCTGCGGCGAGGCCCATGTGAAATCCCACCCAGCTTTTCTGGCAGCAACCCCGGACCTCGGACCTCGGCTTTCTCATTTACAGTGGGGAGGGGGCTCTCCTCAGGAAGTTACTGTAAGTCTTAAAGAATGTTAAAAATCCTTCGTGAACTTCGAGAGCTGAGTTAGACTTTCGCTGGTGGGATCTGCCTACCCAGTGGGATTCTGCGAGACGACCACTCCGCAGGGGAGTCATGGGTAGAAAAGGTGCCCCCTGATTCCAAATCTCCCCATGCCAGGGGAAGACAGTTGCTTCTGAAAACAGAACGCCGTATTTTAGTCTAAAACCAGCTTTGTTTCAGTGGGGAGTGTGCACATGTGTGTGTGTGCATGTGTGCATACGTGCACACATGCATGTGCATGGCATAGATCCAGTTCAGTGAGAGCTCTGTCAACATCAGGTCTCTGTGTGGAAACATTTGTAGAGCCAATCTGGAAAGTGCTTTTAGATATTTTTTTTCAAGGCAAAAGATAAACTCATTTAATTTAGAGTCATCAGCTGGATTGCATTAAATGGAGGGAAAAGCAAAGTCGTACACAATGCAGCCATTTGTTAAACACAATTATTTCTCCCATTACTTAATCACAAGCAGACATAAATACACAGAATTCTGACATCCCAGGTCTTCTTGAATTCCCGATCTGTGTTTCAGCATGGAACGAAAGGAGGGTCAGATTCCAATTTGTGTGTTAAGCAAGCCCGAGAGTTATAATTGTATATTGGGACCATAATGGCTTTGCTAAAGCAAGACCTAAACGTTTAATTAACCTGCCAAGACAAATTACAGCTCACAGTTCACAGGTAACGATCACAGACAGCTGAGACTCAATGCAGGGGACTCTCGGGAAAGAGGGATTAATAGCAGCGTCAGAACCTGTCTGTTTTTGTATTAAAGGATTAAAAAAAGAGTGTTCATTAAACAATTGTTGCAGCTTGAAGGGAGGAGGACAGGTCAGAAAGACAGTGAGAAAAAAGCGGAAGGAGAAAGGGGGGAGGGACAGAGTACCCTAACCCCTTCCCTCTACCCTGCAGGCACCAGGCAGGCTTTACTAATCCCTACAACAGGAACTGCAAACAGCCTGAAACACTCTTTTTTTCTGACAGAAAAGGGGAGACCTGCCACTGACAATCACAGAAGCAACAGGCAGTCACGAGAGAAAGGAGGACTAGGAATCGGTTTTTGTGGGGTGTTTGGGAGCTTTGCTGATAGGAAGCACATGGGGGCTCCCATCTGCCCACAGGGTCAGGATTTCTAAAGAAAGGACCAGGAATCTGAACCTTTGCCTGGCGATTCCTTAGTCCATTTGAGAAGGACGGTGACCAAACGCCTTGCTGTTCAAAACATGCACAACAACCAGACTCACTGGGTACCGCTGCCCGGCCTGCTGGGGCAGCTTCTGCGTCTTATCCAGACCCCTCGGTATCTAGACCCCTGGGTAGGTCAATGCACTGAAATATAGAAGCATGATTGGCTATTGGCTCTGATATATATGAAGGGGTTAAGAAACGATTTTCATCATCTAGACAAGAGAGAGGAACCAGGTAAAAAGCAAGACCATGTCTTAATTATAACAGAGCAGGTTAGCAAGGTTTGACAAGCCAAGGGTGGGCGAAGGGGCAATCCCACTATTTCCTTGATGGTTTAAGATACATATCCTAATTAAAAATGGCTTTCTTTATGGATTTAAATGAACAACCTTTCATATTTATACTCAATTATTAAGACAGAGATTTGACTGTAAATGCTCCCAGTCCTGTGTAAGCCCAATACCATGTGTCCCCTTGTCAGCTGTGCCTAGGAGGAGTCAGGGTGATGGACCAGAGAGCTCAGACACCATGGGACATGAGAATGATGTCCCTAAGTCAAAGCCACCATATCAAGAAAGAAAACATGTAGTGACCGCTGTCTAGCAGAAGCCAGGAAGTGACAGTTTAGATGTCGGTGCAGCGAGAGTCCAGCGTCGAACGGCAGGGACTGTGAGCTTCCCTGTTGCCCTCCACGTGATCGACAGTTACTAGGACACAGCTTAGGATCCAGAATCCTCAGAAACCAAGACGGGAAAGGGTAAGAGATCTGTACGATGGTAAAAGTCAAGTTCATGGCAGAGCTTCTAGACTAAGCCTGCTTCCTAACACATCACACGAGAAACGGCGCAGGAGGGAGACCACCAGCATCATTGCAACTGCCAAGACCAGGGCTGCTGAGGGTCCTGGGCAGAGAAACGACCACGCTCCTGCTTAGTCCCTACCGACCAGGAGGCATTGCCCACGGAGACTCCATGTGCTCCTCCAGCCAGGGACAGCACAGAGAGACTTCTCCTTCATCAATCCCATCTCTGCCATCACGGCAAAATGTGAAGGCCGGATGTGTAGCAGCGGCTTTTTAACCGTGCTCCATTAACAGAAAGGCTCACTCTGCCTCAGTACTGAGGGCAAAACTGCAACTCTGAGGGGAAGGGGCTGAAAACAACTCTCGCTGATCAGGAGTGAGAAGGGGGGGTCTTTGAAGAATGTGGGAGACCTAGCAACAAGCTGAGATATCTTCCTTGTCAGAGAGACGCCCGGCCGACAACCAAGACCTTTCAGGGACATCCTAACACATTCACTAGACAACAGTCCCTTCCAGGGCTTCCGGTCTGTGTTCTGGCTGAGCTTGCCTTCAAGGATGTTTATATTAAAAGACTGCATCCTAATGCTTCCAACAGAAGCCCAGGAAAATTCTGACGTGGAAAACTCAGACTATCCATTTGCATTACTGTGGCCGCCTAAGGAGGATACAAAAATCTATGAAATGGAACATACCAGCAAAGACGAGAATGTCTTTTTAACAGGGATCCGGGCTACCTACATGCCTGTAGACTGTGGAGGTGGCCAAGGCCCTTTGCTACTACGAGGCACAGGGACGACGGTTCAAAGTCACTCTATGTCAGAGAACGGGCCATCTCTATTCTCGTGGAACCCCAAGAGCAACGGCCGACCGCTTGCCTAGCTGCTCCCTCTGCAGTTGACACTCTCTCTCCCAGCACTTTCCTTCTGGTCTCATCTCTCAGTATTGGTTGATTTCAGAAGTAAAAGACAGACCCCAAACAAGCCAGGCAAATCAGCGAGCTGAACGAGGTGAGGCTTAGGTGGAGGTGGAGGGGAGCTGTGTCCTCTGTGCCTTGCCACCCAGAATTCCTATCTCAACACCAGTTCGGCCTCATGGTTCTTGAGCGGTGCTCCACACACCACCCTTGCCCTGCAAGCCCACTTGGGATGACTTTGTACCACGCTCAGAGCGGTGGCTACAGTTCTGGGCAAGGCATATTCAGTTCCGATACCTTGTCAGCACTAACTCCTGAATCCACAACCTTCCTCTCGTTCAAAGACGCCACGAAGGGTGTATCTGCTTACCAATGGTGGTGGTGAGAAAGGAAACCACTTCAGACTCCTTTCCATCGTTGTAAAAGGCCAGGTGCCAGATCCCCGAATCCAGGTACTGGATGAAACCGGTCTCATGGCTGGCTGGGGGGACAGCACCCCGTGACTGGCGCTGGGGACCCTCCAGGCTCCTTGCCTCCTGGGTTAGGAGCCTTCGTCCATCCAGTAGCTCCACAAAGTCAAACTAAAGAACAAAGAGAGTAATGTTAGCGACAGACTGACACCCCAACCGCCAAGCTTTATGGGGGAAGTCCCCCAGGGAGTCTAGAAGGGGAGAAGGAGTCAGGAAGGGGAGCCAGGAGAGCACTCCCCAGATCTAGAGTCTTCACGGAAATATTCTAAGTCTTTTGTGAGTGTGGTATCACTAATGATTACTGCCTTCTTTTGTTGTCATCTGGGGCTATGCAAGTCCTGACACACACACACACACACACACACACACACACACACACAAAGATGGCTACATTTTCTTCAGTGGCAGGTTCCTCAGAAGAAACCCAGACACTTGACGATCATTGGAGGTTCCTGCAAGTGTGGGTGGTAATCTTAGGGGCTTAGAGGGGGACTGTAACACGTAGTAGGGTTGGGTTAGTCATGAGCTAGGTTGGTTTAGCTCAGACTTCCATCAGTGATTACGTGCTGTGTGAAACGCGAGGGCTGATTGATCCAGGACTGCTGGTCTGAGATTCCAGAGAAGTCCACCACGCAGTATGACCATCCGGCGGGGGGAGGGGGGCTAAGCCCTGCTGCCTCACTAGGAAGCACCCCAAGCAGCTCCCTAGTTAGGTTTAGTATTGGAAGATATTTGTCTCACACAAAGCTGAAGCTGTGAAGTTCAGGACCGCATGGTTGTTCTGTGGTCACCAGGGCCCAGGCTCATCTACTGCTCTGGGATCTGATCATGGATTACAACGCTAAACTAAACCGGACGCTGGAGATAAAATGACTGCCTGTGGCCCTGCAATGCATGACGGATGGTTATGGTTTTGATTATTTGGACGGCAAAGCTAGTGTGTGTTGTGCGTGTGTGTGGAGGTTGCACAGGCCCCTGTTCTCCCTGACTCATGACTCCTCCTCTTCTTATTTCTTTCCTTTCATCCCCTCTTTCTCTCTTTGGATGTCAGAGACTGAATCCAGAGTCCCTCATGCTAAGCGCAAGTTCTATTCCTGAACTATACCCCCAGCCACTTGGCCCTTATCTTTATTTCTGGCACAATCCTGAAGAAGAGAGGGGATGCTAGAGGCAGGGAAGGTACTGTCTGCTTGGAGCCAGGTCCCATGCTAAGCGCTCTATGAATTCTGCAGGGTGGTACTCCCCACTTTAGAGAGGAGGAAATCCTCAAGTAGAGGATGAACCATGAGTTCGCGCTTGCATCACCAATGGCAAGAGGACTCACGCTCAGCGCGGGGCTTCTTCTCTAGGTCACACTGCCTGGGTCCTGTAACTTAGGAGACAGGGCGAGGGCAGAAAGGCAGCTGTGAGGTAGCCTAGAATTCTCTGGAAAAGCTCCCGAGAGTTAATTCACTCTTCCGGAAGGCAAGTGGGACAAACGGATGAGTGCCCTGTTAGATAACATGAAGTTCTCTTCCGGCTTTAGGCCCTGGCTGGGTTTCTGCCCGGGTTAGGATCTGAGCTGGCTCCCATGAGGTCCGTAGGTGTGTGGGGTCCAGTTACCTGAGTATGGGAAGGAGGGAGGCCTTTTCTGCCGTAAATGCCCACTAGAGCTGCCTTCCCCAAGGACACGTTGAACTTGAGGTGAACGGGGTGGTCGATGAACACTTGAGACCTCCAGAACGTCCCGGGCGGAATCTTCTGGGAAGCCCGTCTCCCCACATCGATTTCTCCAGAATCTATGAAGCTGTCCTCTGGAAAGAAACTACTTGGCTTTCCTACCAAGACACGAGGAAGGAAAGACAAAAGCCCCCTGGTTAGCCACACGGGACAAGGAACCAGCGTCCCCCACATCCAGGACTCTGCTCTGTCTCTTGCCCCGGCAGAGGTCTGTGTCTGGCTCTCTGCCTCCTCCCCCTCCTCTACAGAAGTAAGATAGTCTAGAATATTTTCCCCCAGTGATGCTCAAATTGTTCTGCTAAAAATATTCATTCTTTCAAAGCAGTATGGGTCCCTCCCAAAGGACCATCTGTTTACTGTGTAATGCCACAGCTTGTTAAGATATATTTTGATCCTAAAAATAATCACTGGTGGTCACATGAGAATAGCTTTGTGATTGTGTGTGTGTGACTGTGTGTGTGTAAAAGCTGTATGGCAAGCCAAAAAGGACAGAGGGTATGAGTTGTTGTCATTCAATTTCCAACCCTACAGTGGGAGGCATGATGGGAGTAGAGGGAGGTATTTTATGTGTATGTGGAAATTGGAAGCCACAGCCTAGAGCTACATATGTGAGTTGGGGGGTTGGGTTTGGAACAGGGCTATGAACTGACAAAGATGGAGAAGAAGGTTCTTAAGAAGGCAGGAGACGTCTGAAAGGGCTTTTGTATTTTGGCGTGTGTGTGTGTGTTAAAATGGTTAAAGGAATTTATCAAGAATGAAATCTATAGCATACTTAGAGAAATTCAACCCAGCCCTCAGCCCTGTACCACAAGGGGCTGAAGACATTCACCAGTGAGATCCTCTGCTTACTTCTATGGCCAAGCAGCAGTGACTACTTTCTGGGTGCGACAAATCCCAGAAAGGAATGCTACCTCCCCAGTTTCCTCTTCAGAGTAATTAAACACCCTAGATGTGAGTGATCTAAGCCCTAACTTCCTGCCCTCTATGAGTGGGGGTGGAGGGGGTAGGAACATTGGGAAGACCACCCTTAGGATCCTGAAAATCCCAAATCAAGCCAACAGGCTCCACTGTGTTTGTCAGTAGTAACCCTCCCTGGGCATCCTGGTCCTAAGGCTTTCATGTGGTTAGAGATGCTCAAAGACCTTGGGAGACAACAAGAATCATTTGCAAAGGAAACACGTCTGTGGAACGTTTTATGAAAAGCATTCAGAGGGAAGAAATTATCATGTCTCCCCACCCCCAGCTTTGTAAGACTCCTTACAAAGCACATTTGATGCTGAAATGGAGCTTGGCAGGGCATTGTTGCGGCCATAAAATATTTTACTGTTTTAAATAATAAAATTCAATTTAGATGTTAAACTTCTCCATATGTTATCATTCCCTTATAAACTCCTAGGCAGAAACATCAGGTTTTTAACTTCAAACCATTAAATGTTATTTTAATTAAAAATGTGCCAACAAAAAGAAAGTTAAGATGCACGTTCTCTATGAAAGTACCGTGGCTATTCTACCCTTAACACAGGGAAGAGTTCGCGTTTAATTCCTACGGAAGGAGTGCACGCCCTAGACTTTTACCTTGAAAACGAAGACACGCAAACCTCCACATTGTGAGTCATGAAGCTTCAAAGGCAGGAGCCCAATTCACAAAACATTGAGATGGGAGAGAATTATTCACATTCTTCTCCTTCTGATCTGCGGGCTCCCAGGACTGTAACCCTTTTATTGTGCAGGTAGAAAGCGCTACACTCTAAGCTTTAAGTTCTCCCAGGAGGCAGAACTGAGGGGGCGTATGAAAAAAAAGCAGGGTGCATTCCGAACCTTTCCCTCCTAGGAGGGGCTGAGAGAGAAGCAGGAGACCCATAAGCTGAGGGCCAGTTTCCTCTGAGAGTATGGAGGAGTTGGGGCCCAGGGACCTGGGGAGCTGCCTGCACTCTGATGTTCTCATGTCTCAGAATAAATAATGAAAAACTGTTCCTTTGTTTTAGTCAGCTGGGTTCCTTTTCTCCCTAGCAAAGAGGAGAGCATAGCATAGGAGATGGCCTTACGGTTCAGGATGGGTCCAGAGACACCCTCTGAACCTCAGGCTGGATCCTTAGGCAGGGCTCTGCGGTTCTTTCCCCAAAATGACAGAAAGGGGATTTTTCTTTAGTTACACTTTCTAGAAGTGCAAGGATGTGGGCCAGGTGGGAAGGCGATGCTGTCTGCACATTGGACCAACTGGTGGTGTGGACTGCTGGTTGGGAGGAGAGAGTGTACAGCTTTTACCACCTTTAGCTCATGGGAAAGATGCCTAAGATTGCCAGGGCTGGGCTGGGGCTGGAAGGGCAACAAACAAACAAAAACCCTTCCTTCTCGCCTTATGAAAAGCCCATCCTGCCTTCATCTGTTCAGATCGTAAGATTTCTTGTCTTTAATTCTGAGAACAAAGCATGAAGACTGAACGTAAAACGTCCCCTGCAAAAAAGTGGGGTGAAGAGCAGGGAGGAGGCTAGCGGCTGGGCGAGGGGAAGCGCTCTGTGTATGAAGTCCGCCTCTTCGTGTGTATTCTGGAAGGCGGCGGATAGTAGTGAAGGCAGAGGTTAATGAGTTCCGGCTGTGTCAAGTGCCTTCCTTTCCATTAGTTCTGTTGATTCTCATGGCGCTAAGAACATCTCTTCGCCAACGCTCTGAATGCTTGAGACGCCAGCTGCGGATGAAGTCACTTGACAAGCCTCTTCACCTCTTCGGATGTGGCTCTTCTGAGAAGTCAGTGAATGAGTGATGAATTAAGTATCTGGAGGGACACTCTCGGCGGTGATGGGGTGCACTGACCCTCTCAAAGAGCAGCCACTCCTGGGGTTCCCGGCGTGAATGCCAAGACTTCACCAGCTAGATCCTAGGTCCACTTAAGAGCTCTGTGGTATGCCAGGGTCTGATAGTTGATCATTTTGACTAATTAGAAATCTGTAAACAGGCCTTGGAGTAGCCAGGGTCTGGGGACAGTCTTGAGAAGCATGCTGTGCCACAACTAGGTGTCTCCAGGCCTTACCACGTGGCGTGAGCAGCTTAGCTTAGTCCTTACCCCTCCCGAGAAATCTGTGTCACAGCACAGATTCCACTGATAACCGGCTTTTTCTTTGTAAATTTAAAGAGATTCGGGCTTCCTAGAGCAATGCTGCACAAATATGCAATCATATCGTCAAAGAAATCTCTCTACGATCTGCTGAAATGGTCGGATAGCTCCACCAAACGTGGCTGGCTTCAGAGAACTGGACATCCCCCGCTTCCCAGTCAGGCTTTGCTTTCCTGACCGGAGACCCCATCTGTTCAGGCTCTGAAGCTCCAATCAACTAACAATCGCCCCACCTATTTTTTTTTATAGACTGCACAAAGAGTCCCTTAGTTTCCTTAGCAACTGTTTGAAATTTCTTCGGGTATCAGAATAAGCCGTTCCATTTTGGAGAGCCCAGCTGAGCCCGTGTGCAGCAATTTGTATGGTTCAGACCGATGAGCAATTTTTATTCCATTGCAAAGAGAAGGCATCCATAGCCCACAGAGTCGACTGTCAGAAATGTTTGTTTGTTCAGTGACTCCCCCTCCCCCATTGATGCAGACACAAGGCCTTGCAGTCTCGCTTCGGGAAGCTGCTACGTTTGGCTTCTGTCCCATGATGACCCTGAAATGGTTACAACCACTTTGAAAATACAAAAATACAAAATTATCCTTTGATGTTATTCTCCCAGACATGACAAACACAATACTGGGATTATTGTGTATTTAATTTATATAATTAAAAAGATATATTTCAAAAATATTTTTTAAATCCTCCAAACCTTAGGAGGACCCATGAGGGGAAACATTAATTGGTATATATCTCTAGGATCTTCGTGTCTGACGTGGAATGGCCCCAGACTAGGTGGACACCATGAGGGACACCAGCTGAACTGATGACCACTCAGGATGAGTGGCTCCCCCGCTGGGCTCTGAGAAGAGCCGTCATTACCCTTGTTCTACAGGCAAGAGAACCAAGGCCAGACGGATGAGGTAACTAGTGTAAGCTCATAGAACCAATGAAAGGTTGGTTTGAGCACCACATCTTGGAGTAGGTGGCTCCAGGGAACACTCAGCCCCTTTCAATCACTTGATACAGCTCCTCCCACCAGCACGGGGCAGAGATGCTAATCTCAACTCTGTAATGGATTCTTTTCCCTGATACCATCAGAAGGGACCAGAAATGTGCCCTCCTGGTACAGTTGACATTTTCATGATTGAGATAAAGTCTAAGGAAGCAGAGGTTTATCATCATGATTAAAAACAGAGGCCGAGTAGACTTGGTTTGGCTGGGGTGGGGTGGGGAAGAACCATGTTGTCTCCCATAGACTATAGGAAGCTTTCCCTCTGCTTTTCAGGCACACGTGTTGTTTCTCACCGTAATTGCTCTTGCTGCTGACTGTTTTCCAGTACTGCCCTGCGTCTGAGGGTTTATAAACAGGATTTCCATTTGCATCGGTAATGACAGATAATCCCTTTAAGCAAAAATCCTCCAATTAAAATAAGCCAATAAGGCAGTGCAATTTTAGGTTGCCGCTTATCTACACCTTCTGCTTCTCCGGAAAAACTAAAGAGAACCCAAACAGCCCACAGACTAATTTCATTAGGGTTGGAGATTTCAGATAGATTTAATTCCCGCTGAAGGAATGTCGGTAGGAGATCACGGTGGGAAGAAACTGCATTGTGTAACAGGAGACCCTGTGCCAACTCCATGATGGGTAGAGACACTTGAAGTGTGTTTCCACAGGCTTAATCTAAAGACAATTGTCCCTTTAGGGGGGCTTCGTCTGTGGCACTGGACAGTATAAACTGGTATGAGCAGCTCAAGCCACCGGCAGGACCATGGACAGTGCCCCCTTGGTTCAAAAGATTCCTGTGATTAGTCTTTGAGGAATCTCACCTGTAGAGCTTGCAAGTTACACTGCACGCTATAAGGCACCTATGGCCCAGGGTTTTTTGAAGTGGGGGGGAGTGAAGCCTAGAACGCCTGGCTCAGGGGACATGCTTAAGCGTACATCATAGTGTCTCCTTACGTCACACAGACTACTCTACTGGTCCCATGCCTGCTAACTCCTTCCCTACCCTGCCACTGGGCAAAGTGGCAGACGTTATTCAGTGGTTTAGGTACTGCCTGGCCTTTCCTCTCTAAAAAGTGGGTAAGCATTTGGATTTGATTCTTTCAGAAGTCTCCTCTCCTCACATAGCTCCGTAGGTCAGCAGCTGACTTTGAACTTCAGGGTCGTCATTGCAGAGGTTGTGAAGAGGTACTTCGAGCAAACGCCAAGTTACCGTTTTAACTGAACAGATGGCTGGAAGCCAAATCTCTGAAAGGACACAGAGACCCACAAAAGGGATGACCCCAGGATCAAGTGAGGCAAGAGAACACCTGGTCTGAGCTGTTAAGGTAAGAGACACGGCAGCTGTGCCGACTGGGGAAGAGCACAGCAGCATTGCAGAGCACAGCAGAGGCAGAAGAAGGGAAGGCCGATGGACTGAAGGACAATCGGGCTGGCCTGTGAGTTTACACATCTTTGCAGTCATGGTAAGCCTGAGCCACTCCTGGCTGACCGTGAAGGAAGTTGTATCAAGGAGCTATTATCAAGACCCTTGAGGAATTTAAAATATGGATTTGTGACCCCTCTCAAGAATGCCAAACCCAACGTGTCACCACCATTTCTGTTACGGATAGAAATATCTTTGTCTTAATGTAGAACAGAATTTCACATCCATATCATCTCTGAGGTCCTGTAACCGGGGTGGGGGGCGGTCAGGTGGGAAAACTCATGGAGGGAGGGAGAGACCTCGGGTCTCAGGCCTGAGTTTATATACTCAATGCTGACACTCTGTGGGTCAAGTCACTTCATGGGATCATCCGCTTTTATACCTAGAATGGACATAGCTAATTATACCCACTTCTGTGGGTTTCTGTGAGATTTAAGTGTACAATGAAATGACCTTAGAAGTTTTGGTACAAACACAGCAAACAGTAATTATTGTTACTACTGCAGATGAGGAAGCTGGCCAGATGGACTAGTAACTTATTCCAGGTAACTGAAGGGGGCTGATGACCTGAAATGTTTTCATTGAAACACATGGCCCTGCCATGTCCCACACATGACCCTTGGTCCCGCAGGGTGACCCAGAAGTGCTCCCCTGACCCCACACAAAGATGGATAGCTGGCGATGCGAATGCCCCCAGTGCATCCTGGGAAGCATGGAATGGGATACAGCAGAGCACCATGGGTCCTTCTGAACCCCGCTCCGAGCTCACACCGACAGGGAACTGGGATGAAGACACGGGTAGACCACAGCCAGCATGGAGTGCAGAAGATGGAAGAAGCATGAGCCGTGAGTTAGGCACACAGTGGGCATGATGGAGGCCTTCTCCAGTCACAGGCAGACACAGAGGACTCACGACAAGGACAACGCAGTGACCCTACCTTCCGTGGCTCCTTTGCCTTTCCTGTCAGGGTTCTCTAAGCCAGTGCCCCCCGAGGGATACAGGGAGACGTCCGTTGGCACAGGCCAACTGCTGGCTGTGTCCTCCGTGATCTCATACATCTGCCCCTCCATCGGCTGCAGGTGCCAGTTTAGGCCAAACAGGTGCATGGCTGTGGTAAGCAATGAAAAGAGTCATCTTTTTCTGCTGGAGGCGGAAACGGAGCTCCCAAGCCATAAAGGAGAGGGGGTCTGGGGTGGGGAACACAGACCCTAGGCTCAGCTTAACATCAGCCCCTGGAGAGAGATTGCTTAGAGTGCCAGCCCCTGTAGGGGCACTTGGGACACGGTGATGATCCAGGTTTAGGGCTTGCCCTCAAGGGGCTCACAGTCTGGTGATGTTGGGAATGGATGAGGGGAGTCAGTTTACAGAGGTCTTGACCTTTTTCTTCAAAAGAGAAATGACAGTCTAGAGCAGAGAAGCGTAACTCGTACCACAGAGTTATTTCCTTAATAGAAAAATAACATCCACATACAAGCAAAGTGGAACTCTGCAGTAGAAAAACGGGCACAGAAGATGAACAGACAGGCGAGGGAATGGGACATGCCTTCGGCTCTTAATTGTGTGTAAAGGTTCCCGACGTTACTCACTGGGAAAGAGATCTAAGTTAAACTCTGAAATAGTATTTCTCACATATGCTTTGGCTAAGGTACAAAGGGCTGAGAAGACTATGTTGGCAGAGGGTGGGGAGCAAGCACCCACATACTTTGCTCGTGGTATGTGATAAAAGTCATGAAACTTAAAATACATTCACTTTTTACCCTGGGATTTCAAGGTCCCAACTGTAGAAAATTCTCTTCTGGATATACTCACACATTTAATAAATTATGTACGTACAAGGTTACTCGTTACAGCATAATTTTAACAGCAAAATTTCATAAACTGGTCCACTGATAAGAGTCTGGGTAGGGTCTATCCGCACAACACAACAGCACAAATAGTCAATAGACCGAGGAAGTTTTTATGTGTTTTCTTTGTTTGTTTGTTTGTTTTTGAAGAAAAACCATAGCCTACAGAAGAATGTGTTGACACACTGCTTTTGGCTCTAAACTGTACAGAGTGTCCGGAAGAACGTGAAAGGCAGTCCTAACACCAGGTGCTCGCTGGGAGGAAAGAGGATGCTGCAGGGCATGATGGGAGGGCGATGCTCCACACATCTCCGTTTTGTACCCTAGGCACGTCTCCCTGCTTTAAGCAATATTTTTCCCAAGTAAGAGGCTACCAGATAGCCTGGTGCACCCATCTAGAAGAGGCTGCGGACAAGAGAAAACGAACACTGAACTATGCCATGCCTGAGAAGGCTGGGAAGACTATTCCCCCAAAGATTTGTAATCCAGTGTGTGACAGCCGTGTGAACGTCACCTTGGGAATCAAGACTTCGCTGTTGACACGGGCGTGGTGGGGCACACCTGGGACCCCAGCAGTGGGGAGGCAGAGGAGGCAGCCTGTGAGGGGAAGGTCTACAGAGATGGGAAGCCAGTCTGTTCCATCTGGTGAGCGCCTTTCACAAAAACAAAAAGCAAGGGCCATGAAAGTGACTCCACTGGTAAAAACACTTATTACGCAAGTCTGATGAACTCAGTTTGATCCCAGAAGCTGGCATTTGGAGTCTGCATAGTGGCAAAGACAACAAAAGAAATTGTTGTTTCTTCCAAGAGAAGTGGGAGGAGAGACCAACCCCCTAAAAATTGTCCTCTCTGAAGTCTGCTTGAATGTTGTGGCATGCATGTGCCCAGACTCACAGTATGCATGTGTGCACACTCACACATACGTGCACACACGCATACACATGCATGTGCCCGTACTCACAGTATGCATGTGTGCACACTCACATATACGTGCACACACGCACACACATGCATGTGCCCATACTCACAGTATGCGTGTGTGCACACTCACACGTGCACACACGCACACACAACTGAAACTAAAAATCATCCCACAGAATGAAACAAGACTGAACCTTGCCAGCGGTGTGCACTCAGGAGCTCACTCTGGCTTCCACACCTGCAGCCGGCCTTGCCCTTCCCAGGCCCTGCACCAGGTTATAGGTCGTGCCCCTTCATCTCGTGGATAAAGCTATTTTTAAAGGTCCTCGGTGGCAGACTCAGGTAAGTCAGTATCGATTCAGACAGCCAAAGTCTACAGTCACACAGTGAAGACAGATGGATTAGGAAGTCCACTCAGAAGGTCAGGGTCCAGAGAAGGGGGTGACTGAGGAGGAGGACCACAGGAATGAGAGAGGATACACAGACAGAAGGTCCATGGACTTGTACTTATTACCCACTGTGTGTGTCTGGTAACTTGTATACACTATGTCTGATCCTCATGGCAACCCCACTAGACCTAGCTTAGAGAACATGAACAGATATTAGGTCTTAATACAAATTAATTTTTTTAAAAACCCAGAAAGTTAGTTGAAACCATGGTATTTGTAAGATAATGATTGAGAAGCTTTACTGTGTACCAGAGACTGTGTTAAAACTAGTCAATGTATATGTTAGCTTTTACGACAACCCCAAAATGCTAATCTTCATAGCCAGACGTTACAGACGACCAAGTGAGGGAAGGAAGCGACGGGCATGTGCAAGGTTGAAAGGGCAAGAAGAAGCAGAGTGTGGTCTAGAACCCACATCTGCCCAGACCTGAAAACTCCCACCTGAGTCTCTCTGCTATGGAGTCCAGGCTCCACCCACTTAGCCTCGTATCAGCTCTATTTCACAAGGTGGCCATTTGAAGACACCCCTTCCTGGACATCAGTCTCCTAGGCTGAGACACAGGACCCTTCCACGGGATGCTGGAAAACAGATCTACAACAGCCTTTAAGCCACAGAAACACTGTAGAGAATCTGGCTCACACAGCACATTCTGTGGTTCCAGGTCATGGTCAAATCATATAGCAGACAGGCACAGGCTTGATCTAGCCAGAAGGTTGCATTTTGGAGACAGCAGGGAGAATGACCCTTTGCTTTGGTTTCTGTGATATGGTACCAGAGCAAGGAAACTGGTTCTGAACACTAACAGTTGCTTCCTAGCCGCAGTAGTATTATCTGAGAAATGGGTTAAATACATTCTGTCGTGGTTTTAGTACTGAAACAGTTGAGTACTGTGTCAGAAGGGCACTATATCAGAGGAGTGTACCATGCCAGCGGGCGCTATACAAAGTAGTAAGCCATGTCGGAGGAATACCATGTCAGAGGGGCACTGTGTCAGAGGAGTGTACCATGCCAATGGGTGCTATACAAAGTAGTATGCCATGTCGGAGGAATACCATGTCAGAGGGGCACTGTGTCAGAAGTGTACCCCGTGTCAGTGGGGTACTGTATAACTGGTGTGCCTCGTCAGAGGGGTTTCATGTCTGTGGTGTCGCATGTGAGGGAGACACCATATCAGAGGCGTAAGCCAATGCAGTACTATGTCCTAAGGGTCCCATGATGAGTGCACCGTATCATCAGTGGGATGCCACGTGGCAAGGTGCTTTGCCAAGTGTACGCAATCACCGTGTTTCCCTGGGCGTCAGATTTGTGCTGTCGGTGATAACAGTACTGGCGACAACAGCCGCTCCCGCTGACTGAGCGCCTTTTTCGCGGGGAGTCCTGCGCCAGGTGCTCCCTGCTTTCCGCTCTGAGTGATGGTGGCAATAAGGCGACTGTTAGCGTGCCCGCGAGGGAGGAAACTGCCACCCTGGGCTGCACTAGCTCATGCTTCTACTGGCCTTCCTACCGCTTTAATCTATATATTGGCAACTCCAAAGGTAATGGAGAACTTCCCTGAACTGCACACAGCTCGGATGAACACCATTAAGTGAGCAGAGCTTCTTCCCCTGTTTGAGTCAATTATCGTATCGGAGAGTGCCAAGCGCTGTCTTGTTAAAAGGTCATGAGAATTAACTAATTCCAGAGCGAGGAGGATGCTCCCGGCTCTGTGAAGAGAAACATTTTTATTGTCAGGACTTTCTCTTAATTTTAGGAGGATACAAATGCAAGACTTTCCTTTAAAAAAAAAAAAGGCAGGGTTCGGGTGGGTGGGAGGCAGGGTTCAGAGAAGAATCTGATTCCCAAGTCCAGGGTCCCTGGGGGAGCTAAGAGGGTAAGGCAGGGCACAGTGGGAAGGGAGCCGCACATGGGGTGGAGGGTGCTGACACTGTCTCCTCTCTTCTGCCTCCGTCGTAGTAACAGAGGCCCACGCAGCTGGGAGGGTGACAGACAGTCCCTGTGACCTGGGGAAGAGGCCCCCAGGAAAGCAAAGCTCCATCCGAAACCACGTGTGACTGATTCCCCAGAGATTGGGCCACCCTGAAATGTCAGGATGGACATGGAGGACAGTGGCAGGGAAAGGACCCGGGTCATAAAGATGGGTCGGACACTTAACGGCTGGCCCCACCAGGCAGAAGGTACCCACTGGTGGAAGAGTAACAAGTCTGCTACAGGGGGTCACCAACCACTTTCTGATTGGGATTCAGGCCCCGTAGACAGGAGGGAGTTCACACTGGGCACTATAAACCTCGTAAGAAGCCCAGGGCTAGGAGGACAGAGCCCTTAGTTGGGAAGTACCTCTTTTATTCTGCTAGACACGATGTGCCTGTCAGATTGCCTTCTGAATAGTTGCGTCTATCCCCATTAGTGCAGGGACACCTCCTTAAACAGTCCAGAGTAACAACCACAGAGACTCATAACTGGTCAGAGTGCTGAGAATAAGCATTGAAAATGCCCGGCCATACCTGAGACATCTTTATCGCCCTCCCCAAGGGTCCGAAGACAAAAGCACAAGAGCAGAAGGATGGGGTGGAATATTGTAGAATGCTACCTTCTGGTCACATGACCTTTGTACTCTTCAGCTACAGCTGCTAGATTACCTGAACAAGATGGAGCCTATCAACATCCAGTCATGCAACGGGGCGGGGGAGGGGAGGCTGAGGATCCACCCACCCAGGAAGATCTAGAGGCCACTAATGGCTACAGGGGGAGAGAGACATTTTCTGTTGTGGTGAGCCACTGGTGAGGCATTCACGCTTCTGGGAGTCACCTCTCTCTCAGATATAGGCAAACCTAATGAAACTGTTTGGGTTACAAATTACAAAGAAAGGACATGAAGTCAAAGGGGAAACTGGGA